GTTACCCATCCAAATGACTATTACGTTATTAAAAGCTTCATTTTCCTTGCACTCCATGTGAACACATCCTGTACATGTTTTTATCTATTTAATGAGCATCTAAGTGAGCTGATAACTTATTGCCTGCAGTTTAATGAGTCTGCACACAGCAGGCAACTCACAAAATCCTGCTAATTTCTCCTTACGAATGAGTAATTGATTTGTGTAATTATGGTCGATTAACATCACATACCACAGAAACCTGTGCGTAATTGGTAAACTTTAAGACTTTAAGTACTGTAGGTATCRCATTAAAAACTTGTGGCTCATTATGAATTATTCTCATTCATTCCTTGTGTATCGTGTGTCTTTTTTGTTTGTTTTTAAAACAGCAAACACCTAGAACTTTATGTCATGGGGTTGTATTTATACAACAGTGTCAGCAGGASAGCTACAGTCCTGCCCTTCAATTATGTGTCCCCCCCATCCCCCACTTTTCATTGGTTTTGTTGACAGATGATGACGACAGTGGAAAAAGTCAGGAAGTTGCTGGAAGATGAGGGTTGATGGTGTTAATAATGAAACAGCGCCAGCACAAAACCCACAAAGCTATCTACCTGTCTAGACACCCAACAGCTGCACAGAACCGCCAAGAATGTTCGTAAAATCAAACAAAAAAAAGAAAAAGAAAGAAAGAAAGAAAGAAAAAACTGATGTGGCTGAACTTAGCTAATCGACAGTACAAATTAGAATCTTGTACAAGGGTGATATTTTGACTTTTACCAACAGGATAATCACAAGTGGAACTAATAACTCTTTAACAGCTCCATTGAATTTGGAAATCCCACTATCACTTAAAATGTTCACCTCCTTTGAAAACGTTGACAAACTCACCTATATTTTCTATCCCATTACACTTTAAAAATGTGAAAATGACCTAATGACCCACTGGTTTTATTTTAAAAATGTGTTAAAAGGAGGTTTTCCTTCAGCAAGCTGCAATGCTGCTATTTCTATTTTTGTTTCTGTTTTTYAGCTGATCGTCCCACTGATCGCCAATAACATGAGATTTGGTTTGTTTAAAAATGGAAATCAGTGAAGCATGAAGTACCTTACCAGTGAAGTACCTTAAGAAAACACGACAATGATACGACATACTTACCTGACACTTACGGATTACTGTTGCACTTCCCTGCAGCAATGAACTCTAGTCCCCTGAAACTCCTGCTCCAAAACAGAGACAACATTTACACACAAAGCGTGCACAGCTCAYAAACAAAATCAGTCACGTTGGTATTTGGAATTGAAGCACCTGCATACTTTCTCAGGCGTCTATTAAAAGTTTGGCACATGCTAGAGCTTGCAAGTGTACTTGTTAGTGTACCTGAACAGGTGTTTGTGAATAGAGTTRCGTGCTTTTCTGTAGCCTCAAACATGCTTTTTAATTGTGTGAGGCTGCAGAAATATCAGAAGGCAGGATACATTTGAAAAAGCTTGATTGTCTCTGCGGGATTATCCCTCACAATGGACAGCTTTATCGGAGAGCTGGGATGGCTGTAAMAAGACACGCCGGCCCTGGGTTTGCCTGTGCAGTGAGACTCCAGCGACTCACAGGAGGGAAGAACAGGGAGACTAAAAAGGAGAAGAACATAGTGGAAAAAGACAAGGAATCGAGGAAGCAGGGAGAGGTGGAATGAAGTGGGAGAAAATCCAGAGGAGAGTAAAATGTACACGCAGAAGTTGAATTAGGGGTCTTGTTTCAAGCCGAGATGCTTGTTTTCTGACAGAGATCCCTCTCAGGAGATTGTGCTGGAAAACAGATTATAGTAAAAAGAGGCCGTCCAAGTTGCACAACTTGCACCTCAGAGGCATGTGAGCAGAAACTGCTGGGAGACAACGGCATGGTAAAAAATTTTGTTGAAACAGCACCAACGTTTTATACTTGACGCTCATTAGTTTTCCCTCACAGACCGTTCTGGATCATAGATGTTTTCAATCACATTGTTTTATTTGCTTTCTTTTACAGGATCTCTCAGCAGGCTYGGGTTGCGATGAAGCAAACTTTATAAAAGTAGACGAGGAGGTTTAATGTGGAGGTTTGGAAATACAGAAAAATGAGGGTTGAACTATATATATATTTTTTTACAGCAGCCCAGCTTTGGGACTTGTAAAAAAACAGATCCAGTTTGCCTGTTTGAAATAATTTACTGTTCATTTATGGTTATTCAAAATCTCTAAGTGACCACAGATCATGTTGTGCTGTGAGACGATCCAATTCATTCCTGTAGAAAAACCTTTGTCCAAATATATCAGCGTGTGCTGGGAGGGTGCAGGTCTTTTTGTGATCTAAAACTTGTAACACTGAGTGGTTTTATGTTTCATACTGACTGAACTTGACAAACCAAAGACCCGTAGGAATTCCAGCACAGTTTGCCTTTCACCAAACTCCTTTGGTGTTGTGCTCAGAATGACAAAATCCTGTTGCTGTTTTACTCGAGTCACCCAGCTGACCGAGGGCTCGTCTTAATCGCTGATCTGCCACTTCTGAGCTGAGAGTTCAGAGAAAATGTAGAAACGAAAAGTAAATTTTGGCCTTGTTGGATGATGTGGAAAAATTTCAGTGATCCAAGCAGAAAAAAATAAATAAATCTAYTCACAGTCAGGGTGTGAAAATGGTACTGTTTTCTYAAGCAGAGTCATTCTTTCTTGCATTTTCTTTCACTTGTGTGTGTTGCAAAGCAGCTGTAGAGGTTTGAAAACTCAATCCAAGCAGTATTATTTTAAACCTATTCAGGAATCCTTGGACTCGTCTTACCTTCAGCTTTCACACCACAACTGGCAAACTCCAAACAGCCCCTTCAAATAACAGCACTTTGCAAACGTTCAGGGGTTTTATTGGCCCCCTTCCTATTTGTCTTGTAAAAACAGCAATAAAATTGCACAACACACAGACAAAGAATGACTGATTAGAGAGCAGCGAAAGAAAGAGATGATTGTCTTGATGTAGATAAACAAGGYACGACAAGCCTCGCAATATTTTATTAGAACGTAACTGCTCTTCCTTGTTCACCTCTCCTTTGAAAGGCTGATGAACTGAACTAGTTTATCTGATGTGAGCTGAAACAAGAAACTGAGAAGGAAGTCCAGCTGTYTATTCAAAGACATGATGTTCATCTCCATCAACCCAGTTTCATGAYATTTTACTATAACAGCTCAAAAAAGTTTAGAATTACAATGTTTTTATCACTGATTTATGTGGTACACAAGAGAATTGGCTTTTCCTGTGAAAATGCAGTGTGAATGCTTACTGTTGAAAGATTTGAGCTGAAGAGCTAAAAAAAGGCTTAAACTAATCTAAAAGTAGCTAAAAGGTAGCTAAAACTGTTGAATTTAGCACAAGGAAATAGAAAGAGCATGTTGGTTGAATTAAGCAGCAATGAGATGAAATTACCACAAAAGGTGAATTTTGTTGAATAAAAGCTCCAATTAGCTAAAAAGAAGCTAAAACATAGAAAACAGCTGAAATTAGCGGAAAGCAGCATGGAAAAAATTAAAGTCGCAGAAAAAAACAGAATGTGGCAAAAGCTAGTTGAAACTAGCAGAAAAGATCAGAACGATAGCCAAGAAAGCAGAAAAAGAGCTAAAATCAGCTAAATAGGGAAGCTCCGAAGGGAGCTGAAATTAACAGAAAGAAGTAAAAAACAAAGCATAACCAGAACAAAAGGTAAAAAGTATAGGCTTTAAGAATGTTGCTCTATTGCACAATGTGAACATATTTATATAAATTATTTAAAAAGCAAAAAAAAATTGAATTAAGTAACATGCCAAAACATTTACAAAAGAAAAGTAGATCTCAATAGTGTGAATGCTTTATAAATATTAAGGGATATTACACACCAAGAGTAGCAGAATTATTATTATTTACCCTAAAGGTAAAAAGGTTCAGTCTATTAGAAATTTAGATTTCAGATTCAGAAACTAGATTTACAACATGTATGACTTTTACGTGTGTCTACAGCATTTCCTTTGTCTCAACCTTTTTGTTTATGCTTGAGCTCCAGTGATATTTTGAGTTTGTTGTGTTGCCATTGGGCAAAGGTTTTAAGATGCTCAAATAAACGGGTTTAACAATTCATTCATTCCTTCTGCCCCAAATATATTAAACATCAGCAAATGTGCTTGTGCGTGTGTGTGCTCGTGCATATATTTTTGTACGTTACTCAATAATTGTTCTTTATTTAGAAAAGGTAAGCTTGTTTATGTCCGGTGATATTATTATGTTGGATGATTCAAAAACTCATGACAACTTTCCTGACTGGACAATCAAGTATATTGAATTTCATCTTTCTGCAGAGAGCTGGCATCATGTTCAAGCCTCCTACCAACACTTGACATACAAAGAAATGGATGAAATAATCTGTCAAGTTCACTACCCWACTGCTTTTCTCTAGAAATGTTCAGCCAAGAATCTTCAGCGTCTCATCCATGCCTGTTGTGATTCTATAACTTTCATTTGTCTGTGGAGCCAAAAAGGGATAAATGATCACAAATTATATCAAGCCAAGCTAATTAATCATGTTAGAAGATGAAATGTGAACCTCTGTGACATGAGAATATCTCTCCTGTTGAAGTCCGTGTGAATCAAAAACTTAATTATAATTATGGGAGCTGTGGTGGCTCGGTGGTCAGCGCCGCAGTCTTGTGATCCTGAGGCTGCAGGTTCAAGCCTAGGTTGCGTCTGCAGCATCTGGTGTAAAACMGTTGCCAAATCCTTCAAGCAAATTCACTGGTTGTGGCGATCTGTGCCGAGGGGAGCAGCGGAATGAAAAAAATTAAAAAATCAAATTAAAATTACACTCTGCTGAAGGGTTGCTGCCGTGTTAGTGAGACAGAGGCATTTAAAAGAGAAAGTGGGACAAACAGAGACAGAAGCAGATAGAGGCCCGCGCTGAGTAACACAGACCGTTCTGTCTTTTCTCGGTGGACCAGAGAAGATGCAGTTGAAATGATGTGTGCTGGAGCATGGCAACTTCTGTTTTATCTTTTCACTCTGTGGTTGGGTGTGTGTGTGTGTACGCGCGCACATTCCTGATTGTGTGGAAAAACAATGACAAGGGCCTCGGTGAGGACGATGAAGTCTTTTCTTTTGTATATTCTGAAGTGTGCCATCTTCTGTCTGCAGACTAGAAAATATGCAATTTGAAGGCAGTGACACAAGTTTAAATCTTCTTGTTCCGAATTCCTTTTCCTCTGTGAGTGAAAAGATCTTGATGCCATTCGGACCTGATACTGATGGAGAAAGTGCTTCATGACCCACATGACAAGGGCCTCCCCTTGTGTCTGGTGTGTAAAACAGCAGGAGCGTTACAGAAACAAGCCACACACTGCAGTCAAAGCAACAAATTCCATAATATCACAGTGTTTGATACAAAATAATAATATTTTTTAATATAAGTAGTTATTAGCTGCCTTCTGACTCCTGCAGATGACTTTTCTGTTTGTCTAAATGCTAAACCGATAATCTGAGATAAGGTTCCAGACAAATATTAGGCTTTAGAGTTTTGCTTCTTTGTAGATTGTTCATGAGAACATTACATAGATTGAAAGTTAGAAGACTGTGCAGCCACCAATAAAAATACAACTTTGATTTACATAAATACAGGTTAATTAAAATAAAACATAATCCTCTTGAATAATTATTTTCATTAATATGTGTTAAAATGAAGACACAATATTCTTAAAAAGCATCTTTTGGCCCTTTAAGATGTCTTGACACACACACACACACACACACACACACACACACCCACACACACCCATGCGCACGCGCGCACGCACACCAGGAAGTACATACTTACTTTCATTTTTCTTCACAGCAGTCGACATTTTGTCTCTCGCAAAAATGAATCTTCAATTTGTCCTGATTTTTTTAATTTTCATAACATCATGGTTAAAAGAAACATCTGGTGAGTGATTAAACTTTGTGACATATAAATATTAACAGTTTTTCATTCATTAAAGGGAAAGACTAATGGAATGTTCTACTTCCTGTATTTGTTGCGCAGTTCTTTTATCAAACAGTTTCAATTTGATGTCAACATATTTAATGATCATAAACTTTTTTTTTACAGGYTGTGAATTGATTAACATAACTTGCAGTGAGATACGTGAAGCTTCTGGATTTAACTTCACTTATGGGTGTCCTTTGCAAAGTTTTCTGGAAGTCGAAGACAGTAATAAGGTAATCTGAACTAATTCATGTTCASTTTTACAAATCAAAGGAAGAAAGTGAAATGAAATCCTTGTGGAAGTGAAATAAAAGTGAACTGTTCATCTCTTACAGACATCGATTGCCAGTTATGGTTCTGCCAACAACACGTCTGACACTTTACCTGAAGTCGTGACAATAAACGAAAATTCAATCGTCACGAAAAGCTGCAGAGATCTCAAAGTAAAATGCTTCATTTATGAAGTGAGTATTTAATGTGAAACAGTTGATGTAAATATTAAACATATTCCACCTCGTCAACATAAACTTCATTTTTACTTTATAGAATTTTCTTGAGGAGAAGTCTGTGTGTTTCAAAGTGATTGGTGAGGCAACAAAAAAACAGAGGAACAGTATTAAGGAACATGATAATATCTTTATCTTATACGTGATGTAATTTTTAACACTTTTTCCATTTTAAACAGATCATCTTATTCCAAGCTCGGAGCCCAAACGTGAGTAAAAGGGAAAAGTATTAATTAAGGAATGAGATAATATCTTGATGTTATTATGTTTATACATGACATCATTATTTATTTATTTATTTATTTACATTTTAAGCAGAGAATTATGATTCAAGCTCGGACCCCAAACGTGAGTTGAAGGGACTTTTATTCATGTTTTATTTTGTATTACTGTAAATCAATTGGAATGAGCCGACAAATTCAATAAAATGTTTTGCCTGTCTTCCAGGGAAAGACATTTTTATCATCGGTGCTATTATTGTTATTGGCGTTTCCTTTGCAGCTTTGGTTGGCTGGTTTGTTTGTTGGAAGAAGAAACAAAAGTAAGTCTAGCTAGACGCTTACTATGCTTCGCCACATTGTCTTTTTCATTTTTTCAGTCAGTGTTTGTTGATTGTTTTTAGATCCGTTTTTTCTTTTCTTTTTTTTTTTTTTGGGCAGAAAACAGCAGAAATCTGAAGCAGTTGCAGCATTTTTTAAATATGTTGCGACCTGCTCCTGTTTCCCGAAGGCGGATTCTCCAGAAGCCAGGTCAGTTTTATCTTTGATGTGTTTTACGTTTTTTTGTTTAAACATAAATAAAGACAATTTGCCAGTAAAAGTTGCAGGCACTTAAGAGGTAATTAAGGTTTTAAATAAATATGCCATTCTTAATTCAGCACTCATTGATAGGTTATCTTTTTTCAACATAGTTTTCAATGGCTGGTTCAAACGTTCTGTAAATGTATTTAAATTTCCATTCAAGGACCCAAACTGGAAGTGGATTCCAACTGGTCACAACAAGAGAGGTAGAAAATCAAGTCAGGTGAGGCTACAGTCAGAACTGTTAGGAGAGGTTAGTGACAGTAAACACAATATTTAGACCGAAATAATTATGTTATTTTATCTTATTGCAGGAATGGAAGCATTTTCAGTCAAAGTGCTGAAAATGATCCTTTGGAAATCGTTAGCAGGTTAGATACTTTAACAGTTGTGAATCTTTATCCATCTGAGACTCTTTCTTAACTCAATTGTGTGTGTGTGTGTGTGTGTGTGTGTGTGTGTGTGTGTGTGTGTGTGTGTG